TAAAGGTATGATAATTCCGGGGGCCCTTGAGTGACAGGGGCCGTAAAAATTAGACTGATCTGAGTTGGGGGGGGGGTCCAATATAAAATGCTTTCATGAGTTCAAATCTGCTGTGTAAGATATAATATTGAGTTTGAATCTGAAGATGTCTGATTGGATAAAAACAGGCAAAACAGGAAGTTAGAAGTGTTAGTCGGGTCGGGGGGTTTTGAAAAAGCCATGTTGGATGGCAAACAAATGGTTCAAGAATCATTCTGCAGACACTCCGTCCATGACTGACGTATGTTTTCTGCTTCCCTTACAAAGAAAAAGAAGACAAATAAAACAAGGATCTCCATCTTCAGTCCTGGAGAGACCTACACATTTTTGCTTCGCTGTCATTTACTGTATCACCCCTGATTCTACTTCTCTGCTAATTACCACCCGCTTCTTGAATCAGTTGTGGTGGAACATAGAGAGAATTAAGCTCTTCAGAACCGGAGGTGGAGACCCCTGACGTAAAACTTGACAATGTGTGAACGAAAAAGAAACCCCCACCCCCCCCTTCAAGACCGTGCTCAGGACGAGCGGAGAGGAGACAGGCAGCTTCAGTCTGCGGTGAGGACGTTGGTGACTCTGCCCCCTACTGAGAGAAATGCCAGACGCTCTCAGCTGCATGATCGATCGGGCGTTTTCGGAGAGGCCAGTCAGGCATCTTCCCCCTCTGATTAATGTCTGCCCAGCTGGCTCACATTTCCTCTCGATTCACTCCCCCACCCCACCCCCCCGTCCTTGGGCCAGATTTCCAAGGTATCCCCCCTGCCATCGATACCATGAATCACCTCTCTGTCCATAAATATTCAATTAACGCAGCTTGACTGTTATATACGACACTTGGGTACTTATTGTTATTTTTGATTTATTTTCTAAATAAATTATTTACCGGCGCTTTGGCTGTGTAACTTGCTAAATGATGTACAAGTCACCCTGCCCCCGTCCACCCTGAGTGGGATGTCAGTCCCCTAACACGTACCCTAAGGAAGGAGTCCAGAGCGCCATTCTCCATGAACTCCGTGATGATCATGACCGGCCGGCTCTTGGTAACCACTCCCTCCAGTCGGATGATGTTGGGGTGGTCAAACTGGCCCATGATGCTGGCCTCGCTCAGGAAGTCCCGCCTCTGCTTCTCCGAGTAGCCTGCCTTCAGCGTCTTGATGGCCACCGACAGCTCCCGCTTGCCCACTGGCTTCAACCGGCCCTTATAAACCTCGCCGAACTCCCCTGGGGGGGCACAAGGGAGGCAAAAATCCAGATATACACATCAGGAGTCTGCAGGTTAATCAATCTGAGGTTTTCCCAAACACAACCACACCCCCCCCATCTTAATAACATTTGACTGAGTGATAGCCCCACCCTAAGGAGACCCCCACCACCCCTATCTTGACATTAGTCCATGTTGAGACACCCCAGGGATTGGGGCGTGGTGAGGGAATCACTGTTGCAATTACCATGATCTGCAACATCTCTGTTATTCTGCTGAGACTCACAGGAGTATGTGGCAGCTTGTGGAGTTGGGTGGGGGAAGATGTGGGGGTTGTTGGTAATGCCAGCAGCTTGTAGTGGGGGGGGGCAGCACCGAAAGTAGGACACGGGGGCTTTTCTGCTGGTTCTGATTAATGGAATAGTACCCTCCCATCGATTCACTCGCACAACCCCATCGAGACTGATTACACCCTTGCGATTCGGGGGGGGTTTAAAGGGCCGTCACACCTGCGCCGATGACCTCCTCGATCTTCACGCAGGAGACGTCAATCTCCTTGGCAAACTCGCGTACAGCCTCATTCGGGTCCTCATAGGTGAATGGGTCGATGTAGATCTTCATCCCCGGGGAGCCCGGGAAGTGGGAGGGGCAGCCGGCAGGGGTGTGGCAGTTGGTCAGGTCTGGCCTCAGGGAGAGCTCTGAAACAAACAATGTCTCGGCGATTCACTAGGGGGCACTGTGGAGTCTGAGAAACCTACGGGTTCAAGAACAGAAGGAGTCAGAGAGAGGCACTGACGAGAGGCATGTAAGGAGGCTTATCAGATTAACAACAAAAGAAAAGAGGCAGGACATTAACCAGACAGCAAAGTACTAGGTCGGCTTTCAAAATGGTCAGCATCAATCAGAGGCAAGACGCGTTGCCATAGGTCACGCTATCGGTATGCTTAGCAGCCGACCTTGTACAGCCTTTAATTTTACACTCCAGCCATTTTTACCGTGGGGTGTTTGCTGGTGCCGTCAGGTTAAGTGCCTTTTGCCGAGGGAGGCAGAACCCATGTGGCGAATGTGCCGGGTGTCCACCACGGCCCGCTGAGCTGGATCCAGGGCCACAGAAGAGCTGCTGGCTGTTTAAGGAATTAGCCTGGGCCGTACCAAGTGCAAAGACACGGGGGAGCTGTGTTTACAACCCCAGTGCGGTGGTTGTTTCCCAAACAAGGCTGTGGTTCTTCTTAAGTCACCGGGCGATGATGCGCATCAGGCTTGCACCGAGTGACACTTCTGGGTGCGAAAGGCGTGTGACGTTAACAGATAACGAGACGCGATGTGTCAGCACCCCCCATCCCCCCCCGCCCCCTGCCTCCTCCTCGCTCCCGAGGCTCATCTTTGCTGTAGCAGCAAAAAAAGTTTCCCCCGAGACCCTGTCTCTCCACAAGTCGCCGAAAAATGGATGACATCGGCTCGATATGAAATGGCTCTTCACGCCACAGAGGGGGAGAGAACTGCCATGCCAACGTGAAAATTGACGTTTTCCTGAAGGTAGATGAAAAATGGAGCTTTGGTGTGTTGAAGTGCCCGTGTGTGTGTGTGTGTGTGTGTGTGTGTGTGTGTGTGTCATGGGTGAGAAGGTGAGAAGATAATACGCTTCACAGTATTATAACAGTGAATAGGGAAAATGTGCTTTTAAATGACGATATAATTCTAGTAATGAGTTATTTCGACATTTGATTCATAATTTAATCTCAAAAACAGAGGAGGTAAAACCCAATCTACCTCTATGAACCAGCCTCCTCTGGTGCGTGTGTATGTGTGTCTGTCTGTTTGTGCATCTGTCTGTCTGTCTGTCTGTGTCTCTTCTAAAAGCTGGTTCATACTTCTCCGCACACATGCAACACTCGTGAATCTGCTCTGTGTACACAGACAACGGAAACGCTCATACTTCTCCAGCCAAGCTACGTGAACAACGTGCAAACAACGTGTCATAGAGGAAACACATTGCGTACTTGCTACGTCATTCCAATATGGATATGCAGGAAGGAAGAAAAAGGTTTGCGCATTTGCAGCCTATCCGGAGCTGCGTATGAACTGTCCGTGTGGACACAGATGTGGAGGGCAGCACACGTTCATCGATGATGTAAAATGCCTCATAAAAGGCCACATGGACACGTCCGCATGTAAGAGTATGGAGAAATATGAACCAGCCTTAAGAAATCTCAGCCGTCCCGGCAACATGACCAAGCAAAGATCACCAAGTAAACAGCGTCTAAACAAAACCAGCAAAACCACTGCCAGGCTCATATTTTCAAACATGCTCAAATTATATGACAATATTATGAAATTATGTACATTACAATTAAGAAAACGATAGTATCTACAAAATGAATCACACATGTCTCTTAAATCTTATAGTTCCTTCGTGTCATGCTCATTATCCTCGCGGCCAGGCTGCCTTTCACGGGGAGTTTCTGGAATGATCCGCACCTAGTTTAGACTGTTGGATCCTCTTTTTGCTCGCAGCTTATGGTTCTGTTGAAGTTTGCCAGGTCGGGGCCATTTGGTGAAGGGAGAAGCTTCCCAGTATCGGGGGGGTGGGCGGCGCCCCGTCCGCCAAAGCCTCCCGCCTGACAGCCGTGAACCGTGACAACTTGGACAGAATTGTCAATTACGCGAGCCCTCGCGTCTGCAATTAGCTAATTCGTTCAGGCGCTGGCGAAGCGCGCTACACCCCCCCTTGCCCACCAACCGTGAAGGCGCCCTGGCACTGGCTCCCACCCGCCGGCGCCCCTCGGTGTTCCAGCCAAAATCTCTCCCCAGCACATGTCCGGGATCTTGTGCTTCTACCGCCGTGACGTCGATGTTCAATGAAAACGGCTGAGCGCCATCTCCATTTCCGCCACGGTGGCGCTGTTTCACACACTAACGAACGGTACAGATGTGCCGGTTCATATTTTACATGTGTGCGTGACCTGGAATCTGAATCCCAGCTTCCCTCCCTGGCATAAGACAAAGAGGACGAGAGACACGAGAACCTGCTTTAGGAACCGGGTTTGTTTGCCCGAAAGCTTCCGAAGGCTATTCTGGACTCCAGGCCAAGTTAACTCAAGTTACCTTCATTCTAAACCAAGCTAACTCACCATGGGGAACTGATGAAGAAAATCCAAGGTACAGGTCACTACCCGTCAGTCTAAGGTTCCTCTAGCCTTTATGACTCTAGGGAGGATTCTTGGCTTCTTCAAGCTATATATGTTTATAAAGCGCTTTTAGCAATAGCTAAAATGATGGACATAACAGTGCTGAATCTTCTGTGGCAATAAAAACCCAAAAGACAAACAAATAAGAGAGGAAACAAAAACTGTAATGTTAATTATGGGGTGGTGTTCACTGCCAGCTAGCTGCCCACCCCCACACCCCCACGATGGTCCTCTTCATGCCAAAGATGGCGGCCAGCTTTCCCTAGGGTCGGTGCCGTCTGTGACGGACTCCGGGCGGAATCTGCTGTGGCTAGCCCCCCCCCACCACCACCCCCAGCCCCCATCTGGCTGTTATGGCGCCCGGCCTCGTCGGAGGAGCTGAGCGTGGGTCCCTTCCAGCCAGAGCGGCCCGAGGTGCAGCTGGGGATGCAGGAGACCGTCCAATAGCGAGACGCTTTGGTGGGGGGGGGTTGGGCGCATTACAGGGACCAACCATTGGACAGTGCATGCTAGCAAGGGGGGAGGGGCTGATTTCCCCTATAGTGTATGTGTTTCAGTGTCCGACAGGCCAGTTGGGGGCGCTATAGAGCTTCTCTCATACACTGCCATGGAAAGAAGACGACAGATCTCGGACTTTCGTTGCCGCTCTGTCACAGGAAAAGTCCTTCTTGAAAAATTCAAACAGCATGCCACCTGTACTCCATCTACCATTTGAGATTCCGCCACAGTCCTACAACCCAGAGGTAATTTATTGAATGCACCCTCCCCCACAGGTTCTTGTCATAATTAACGTAACAATAAATATATTACTTCTGACAGTAAAATTATGGGCTGCATTTGAGTGCCTAAAAGTAATTACAGTTTTTAACGCAACATGCCTACCTATTAGTCTATGCTCTGCTTTTTTATTAAGATTCTGATTGGCTTTGGGAGCCTGGCTGTGGGCGGAGCTGCATAAACAGGAAGTGCCGCTATACGACATGTCGTGATACATCATCGCATCATTTATACAAAATGATTCAAAAATAGGGAAAAAGCAGTGGGCCTGACATTGGTGCCTGACCCCGTTAGGGGGGGGTGGAGGTAGAGACAGCGGACTGACCTCTCCCTGTATTGTAGTGCTGCAGCTTGTCACTGTATATGGTCTCCTTAATGAAGGCCCTCTTCCTGCAGAGGGTGCAAGAACAGATGGGCGGATGTTAGGGTTAGCGATTGGCCTGTGTAACGGTCTCAGTAGCATTAGGGTTAGGCTGTAGAGTTAGGATGATGGAGTGTTGGGAATACACTGGTTGGGAACGTGGAACGGTTCCAGCCCTGCACGGGGCCATGTGTGGGGGGCTGGAGCACGTACCTGCTGCAGACGATGGAGATGGCCACCAGGGACACGACCAGCACCACGCCGGCTGCCGCTGAGCCCGCGATCAGGGGCAGCTGCTCCCGCAACTCCGACTTGTACTCGTCTGGGCGGCACAGGCAGGGAGCGAGAGGAGAGGAAAGAGAGGGAGGGAGAGAGAGGAGAGGAAAGAGAGGGAGGGAGCGAGAGGAGTGATGAAACGGAGCAGCACTGAATCCTTAATGGGGCCTACAGAACCCAAGTAGAACCTACAGACACACACTCACAATGGAACCTGCACCCCACCTAAGTAACTTCACTTCCTGTTTGATAAGCACGATACGGATTTCTAGAGATGGTGCGATATTTGTGCTGGAGCCCCAGCATGCAGCCGCTGACTCATCTCTGCAGCTGAAGGTTGTCGGTTCAAACCCCAGTAAGGGACTTGTAGTGGCGCCATGAGAGGTGTGACCTTTGCGGGGGATAAATCCGTCCATCTGGAAATCCCAGGATACGACCCCCCCCCCCCCCCCCCCCCCCCACCCAAAGCACAGTAAACGGTCAGCTTTGCAGTGTCATTTGGACTGCAGAAACCGGACCTAGATACTGTAGGTAAGAGTTTAACGGAATGGGGATCGCTGATGTCATGTGACCTCCTGTAAATTCAGTCCCATGACTGTGAGGTTTCTGGCAACAGTCCAATACAGCAGAAATACAGCATGATGTAAGCCTTAAAGTTTGTACAAAACTGAAGTTTCAAAACTGCAGAGATATGTTAAATATATGCTATATATATAATTTCAGTACAATTTCAAACATAATCAGCTTCATGCATATACATTAATAATACATAATATGCTTATTATTTATGACTCTAAAAATACAACAATGACTCCCAATGTTCGGTACAGCATACGTTTGAAAATATAGCACTCATATATCACCTTGTGACGCAGTTAATAATTGCACAGGGGTCAGAGAAACGCTGTACCACTTTCAGAGCACACACATACAGCTAAAACATTGTCTCTGTAATCAGGTGTTTACTCGCTCCCAGCCTCACAAGCCACGCCGGTGGCTAATTAATCACTCTAATGAGTAATCACCGCTAAGCTCTGTAGGACGGCTCCCTGGTTTGTGATGCGTGCCACACGCTCACCCCTGTCATCCCCCAGACTCCGCCCCCAGCTCTTTTAAGGCCCAGAATCCAAGCAATCACAGTGCAGTCCAATGCCCCACCTCTCACACAGGCCACACCCCCCAGCCACGCCCTCATGCCCTTAGCTCTCACCGTCAGTCAGGGTCTGGAAGCACATCTTGCCGCTGAACTTGCCGAAGCCGGCGACAGTGCGCGCGCGGACCTGCACCTCGTACATCGTGCCGGCCCGCAGGCCCTCCAGCCGCACCGTGTTGGTCTGGCTCCGCACCACCGACGAGTTTGACTCCGGGTGGTCCTGCAGAAAAATAGCCGGGGGAGGGCAAAGTCACTTTCTAAGCCTCAGGAGGTGAATTTAAAATTATACATGGCATATTAATACTATACATACTATATATTTCCCTCTGTCATATAAAGATTAGTGGTGGATCTGAGATTTTTCTTTCACTTTCTATATTTGTGCCCCTGTCCTTTCTGTTGCGCTCTGTTGATATTAATCAGTCACCATCGACTAGCTGTGGTCATGGCAGGCCAGCCGGAATCTGCCCCTGACCCCGCCCGCCGGACTCTGACATGCACCCGGTTGGGGGGGGGCAGCCCAGGGCCTTCCGTTCTGGGCCAGTGCCAGGCAAGGGGCCGTATGTCTGCACAGAAGGCTGGGTGACTCACAGAGGACCCCCGCAGCAGAACGCTTGACCGGATGGACCGGCGAGTAAAAGGTCAGAGGATTAAACCCGTCAGGTTGTACGTTTGGGCGACACGTTTAACCCCCGAAATTTACACCTGAGCAAATCAATAAAACTGTAAGCTTTTGGATAACAGGTGGGCAGGGGGGGGGGGCTTCTCAATTTTCACATGATTCTTATGGGTAGGTGGCACAACCGCCCCCACCCTCCCTACCAGCCTTTGTTCCGATGCTTTGCACCTTCAGATGACACCACCTGTAGGGCGGGTGTGTATCTGGACTGCAGACTGACCTGGGAACTGTGAAGGCATTAACTAACTCATTAAGTGCTCCGGGAATTTCCCAAAAACCGAGCACACAGGTTCATTTTAAAAAGTAAGTATTGCTTAAGTAAGTAAACATCTAAAGCAGGCAGATTAGGCCTCTCCGTGTTGAGCTGTTAAAGGCCGATCAGTGGTCCTTTGCAGTTTCACTCTTTATTCTTTCAAGTGAAGTCGTTTGTTTTTCTTCCATGTTTGCAAATGTGAAATGCCCCCTTCGGGATTCATTCCAGGGCTACAAACCAAACTGGAGTACTGGGGGAATTGTCAGCTGAGCACGCAATGGGGCTGGGGGGGGCGAATACAGAAACACACACAGACGCTCACAAACACGCACGCAAAAATGTGCACATGTGGAGACGCACAGATGCACACACGCACAAGCACAGATGCGTACGTGCCACAGATATGCACACATATAGGCACACACAAACATGCACTGATGGGCACACGGACAGATGTGCACAGCCATGCATACGCAAAAACAAGCACATGCAGATGTGTACACGCACA